ATCACAATCAAACACATAAATCTTAAACAATTAAGAACATCAATAATTCAAAAAACGATATAAAACTGGTTCAAACACTTACATCTCCTGCTTGAAACAAAACCGATATTTTTTTGGTCCTTGACTTAAACGAACACCATGTCCATATGTGCGGGAATCTCCTTTGAGAAGAATAATCATGCAAAGAAAGTCGTTCAAAAGCCCAAAGCTACAACATTACAAACAATAGTTAGCCAAAATTACAATGAACTCCACCACATTAACATAATAAATTCTAACTCGGTGACATTGCCACTCAGACTCAACGCATGATGGATAGCTCCCGGCATTATTTTCTTAGTAAATTTATTTAAATTATGTACAATATTTTTATGTACGGCAGTTGCCCAATCATATACACATAAACTGTCCAAGTCATCTAACATTGTCCAAGTCATCTAACACTGCAGAAGGCATGTTAGAAACATACACAAACTTTCTAGGAAAAAAAACAATAAAACATACTAAGAGATACAACCTACAAACCATATCAACCTCAATCTCATCGTTGTTTACAATCGTATGAAACATGTTCATCAAGTCCTTCAAAGTAGTTGCTTTTGTATTAAACATTTGACCAACAATACCAGCTACTAATTCATTAGTTGGAACATCTAAACCCCCTATTTGTAGACCTAAACTCATAAGGACATCCAAAACTTTTAATGGAACCAATTGTTGACTAACTCGAAAACTTTCATGGTGCGCATCCCACCTAACAACCATCTCCTGTAACAATTTTAAATTGACCTCTAAAAGGGTAGCAATTTCCAAACACCACTTAAATGGAGTCTGACTAATGCGGGATACATGAGGTTTTCGAAGTAACCCATTCACTTCCACGATATGGGATGAATCCATAGATGTTCCCAGGCACCACTACACAATATGCACAATACATTATCAAAAACTAACATTTGTCAATATAATTATTTATTATAAAATTTTATTTACACTAAACTTGTACTTACTTTTGCATTTCCTCCTTCCATTGATGAATCAAATTAATAACAATACTGTAGTAGATGATAAATCACATTATCAACATCAACATCAATGACAAAAACCATAAACCACAAAGAAAATCAATAATCCAAACATGTCACTTCAAAAGCCAAGACCTTCGAATAAAGACAAACCTTTAAGGAGCAAAAAGCCGAAACCTTAGAAACCTTTAAGGAGCAAAAAGCCGAAACCTTGGGAGAAATAACGCCAACCACAATGCGATGGAGCGAGAGTGAATTGGAGACCGAAGTGCAACTAATGGAGTGAGAGCGACATCCAAAGAGAGAAATGTGCGAACAATGGTGGAGAGACAACGACGTGCAAAGAGAGAAAAATCCTACTCAAATGGTGGACTGAGAGCCCCGTTCAATGGTGGAGAGAGAGTGACGAAATGTGCAAAGCCAAAAACGAAGAAGAGGAAAATATGAAAGAAAGGGACAATCTGAATTTTCTTTCCAAATATGCCCTCCACACCAAAAACCAACTTTCTAAAAATCAACCAATGAAAATGCTCCACGTGTAGTTGTCAAAAAGTTGACAAAATTTTGTTGGAAAATATTATAAACGTTTTTCATTTACGTAATCAACGCATATGGATTTAATGTGAGCAATCTTTTCCCAGTCTTCACCTTGTTTCTTGCATCGCTGTTTTAGTAACAGACAATATACAATTTCGAGTTTTGAAATGGATTTGGGTATAGACCCTCCTCAGGCAAGCATTGGAGTATAGGACAGTCACGAAGAACCAATGTCTGAAGAGAGGAGAGGTGACAGAGACCCTTGTAGTGCAGTTTTTTAAGATTTGGACAATCATATATCTCTAGATGATCAAGAGAAAGTGGGAGCAAACCTTCACCAGGAAAACACTCCAAATCCACATTGCAAATGTAAAGGATTTTTAAGGAAGGGTTGGTTCCCCAAGCGCCCTTGAGTGAGGCCACAAGTTTGGAGCAATCCCCGAGAAACATCTTTTTTACATTTGATGGCAAATATCCCTCGGACATCTCCAGCGCTGGACAATAGAATATGTCCACACGATTAAGAGATGGAAGAAGGGCAGACATGCATTTAGGCATTGACTTCAATTTTTTCAATCCTCTAATATTAAATGACACTAGCTGAGGTGCAAATAATCCTTCGTTAGGAAATGATTCAAATTCAGAGCATTCTTCAATCCACAAATACTTCAAATGATTATGAGGTTGCTCCTGCGATATCATCTGTAGATAGCCATCGATCGACAAGTGCTTCAAATGCCTGGAAGGTTGCAGATTCTCAAGTACTTCTCTTTCTTTTACTGAATCGTCATTGTTCCGCTTCAAATTCCATCGTAAACTCAGACTCACAATATGTGTTTTATTTTTCAAATTCGTCTCACAGGGATTTGCGATATTTTCAAGATTATTAATTGACAGCTCCTCTGCACGAAGATCAAGTTCTCCTAATTGTTGAATACTGAACTCACTACTTTTTTCAACCGCAAACTTGTTTATCCACACGTGAAGATTCTTCAACTCTCCTAAACGGTGTGGAACCTTTGTTAAAGTAATTCCCTTAAGTTCAAGGCGGCGCAAATTGGTGAGCTCATGCAAAGTCAAGGGCAGCTCCTTCAATTTGAAACAATTATTTAGTTTCAATTCTTGCAAGTTATAGAGTGAACAGGTTGAGTCAGGAAGTCTCTTTATGTCGGCACCTGAAAGGTCTAACGAACGGAGATGTATTAGATCGCCTATGGTGTCAGGCACCTTAATACACCAACGCCATGATAAGACCAGTAAGAACTTAAAGTTGGAGATTGACTCTTCTATTGACATCGGACAGTCCCACCCCTGAAAGGTTATAAATGTCCGTAACCCTTTAGCATCACATAAATTCGTATAACATTGACTAAGACCGCTTACATATGATATATGACGGGTTTTCCTTGATACTCCTTTTTCACCATCAACACCTAACCTGTAGCAGATTTCACCTGAAACATATTTTGCTAAATCATTCAGAAGGTCGTGCATGACAAAATATATTTCCTTGTCCCAAGTTATTTGTTTAAAGAATGACCTTGATACTAGATCATTGAAGTAGTCTTCACCTACTTCTTCTGGAGACTTGCTTTGTTGAGAGCAATGTAGAAAATTTTGAGCCATCCATAACAAAATTAAGCTCTCTTTGTCAAACCTATGGTCTTTGGGGAATAATGCACAATAAGCAAAACATCTCTTGAGATGAGAAGGAAGATGGTAATAGCTCAACAACAAGGTAGGGACGATTTTACTATCTTCTATTGGTAAGTCCCATATCTCGCTTGTCAATACACCTTCCCACTCTGAAACGGATGACTTTGACTGTAAAAGACATCCTATTGTTTCAAGGGCCAGAGGCAATCCTTGGCACTTTTTAACTATCTTCATACCAATCTCCTTTAACTCAGACTTCAACTCGGAGTCTTGATCATGGAATGCATGTTTAGCAAAAGTTTGCCAGCTGTGATCTTCATCTAATTGCTTTAATTGGTGTATGTAGGTTGACTGCATGATAGAAGCAACTTTGTGACTGCGTGTTGTGACTAGAATTTTACTTCCTTTAGCTCCAAACGTAAGAGGAGTTTGTAATGCTTTCCATTGATTGCGGTCTTCGTTCCAAACATCATCCAGAACCAGAAGAAATTTCCTTCCGGACAATCTTTTTTTAAATTTTCCATGAATCATTTCTAGGTCATCACTGTCATCTCTTGAGTTAGTGAAAGCTCCAATAATTGCTTTGGATACTCTCAAAGCATCAAATGCATCAGAAACGCAAACCCAAGCCTTTTCATCAAATTTAGCTTCCTCTGTCTTTGGATCATTGTATACATGTTGAGCAAGTGTGGTCTTACCCATCCCACCCATACCCACAATAGAAAGTATTGACTGCTTATTATCGTCAGTGTCAGATCTCAGCCAAGTAAAGATCATTTCTTTTTCCTCATTTCTGCCATAAATTACCTCTTCAGCCACCAACGACGTTGATTCGACTTTTTTATCCGACACCTTATTACCCAACTCAGATCTTACGCCACTATAAATTTTGAAATCTTTAACAATCTTGTGGTTTAAAAGAGATTCTAAATCGTCTAGGAGTGCTATGATCTTGGATTCAAAACTGTATACCTTGCTAGAACTGGTCTGGAATTCAGCTTCCAACTTAGTCTTGGAGAATTCATAGTCTATTTGCTCGAGCAGATCCTCTGCATCATACAAGACGTCTCTAACCTCATCAAGCCACTCTTTGACCAATGAATTAGTGAACTGCTTTTGTTCTGCATCATCTATGACAGCGTTGATGTCCATCAACTTCCTCTTCAACTTTTTCAGTAGCTTCTCGTCAAGATTTCTCCCACGAAAGAAGCCCAAAACTTGATGAGAATCGAGCTTGTCAAATAGCATCTGAAGAACAACACCAAAAAGAGCACCACCAAGTGTTTCAAGGACAGGCATGATTGAGAAGGAAGTGACCAAATTGAGGAGAAGAAAGGATTGAGAAAAGAGTCATTATCCCTGCACCTCACCACCCTCGTCCTGCACCTCAAAAAAAAATTTANTGAAAAAACAAGAATATTCAATCAAAAACCATCACCTTTCACCAATGACAAATAAAATTCTCATCAATTACCTATGTGGTCTGTCTCTTACGTTGATTACGTAGTACAACTTCTCAACATCCACAGTACTGGTTGGATCACCAACATAATTGCGCAAAGGGGGATCGCCAATGGTATATCGTAATCATCCCCTTCATCATCAGCAATTTCAATGACCACTCGTTCAATGCCAGAACCTCCAGCTCCTTCAACCGCTACTTCTTCATGATATGCACCTACAAGTTCTTCATTATATGTACCTGCAGGTTCTTCATCAACACCAACAACAACTTCTTCATCACATGCAACTACAACTTCCTCGCCAGCTCCACTGCAACCTTCTTCATCACATGCACCTGTAGTTTCTTCACGACGACCATCTCGTACATTTGCATTTTGACGAATGTCATATATTTCTTGAGTAAGAGCTGCAATCATCCTTCAAGCCTCGATCCTTCAGCCTTCACTTCCCGATCCAAATGGAAAGCAGCACGGATGGCCTCGACTCCACGATCAAGTTTATGTACGTACCAGTTCAAATTTACCTATCACAATCAAACACATAAATCTTAAACAATTAAGAACATCAATAATTCAAAAAACGATATAAAACTGGTTCAAACACTTACATCTCCTGCTTGAAACAAAACCGATATTTTTTTGGTCCTTGACTTAAACGAACACCATGTCCATATGTGCGGGAATCTCCTTTGAGAAGAATAATCATGCAAAGAAAGTCGTTCAAAAGCCCAAAGCTACAACATTACAAACAATAGTTAGCCAAAATTATAATGAACTCCACCACATTAACATAATAAATTCTAACTCGGTGACATTGCCACTCAGACTCAACGCATGATGGATAGCTCCCGGCATTATTTTCTTAGTAAATTTATTTAAATTATGTACAATATTTTTATGTACGGCAGTTGCCCAATCATATACACATAAACTGTCCAAGTCATCTAACATTGTCCAAGTCATCTAACACTGCAGAAGGCATGTTAGAAACATACACAAACTTTCTAGGAAAAAAAACAATAAAACATACTAAGAGATACAACCTACAAACCATATCAACCTCAATCTCATCGTTGTTTACAATCGTATGAAACATGTTCATCAAGTCCTTCAAAGTAGTTGCTTTTGTATTAAACATTTGACCAACAATACCAGCTACTAATTCATTAGTTGGAACATCTAAACCCCCTATTTGTAGACCTAAACTCATAAGGACATCCAAAACTTTTAATGGAACCAATTGTTGACTAACTCGAAAACTTTCATGGTGCGCATCCCACCTAACAACCATCTCCTGTAACAATTTTAAATTGACCTCTAAAAGGGTAGCAATTTCCAAACACCACTTAAATGGAGTCTGACTAATGCGGGATACATGAGGTTTTCGAAGTAACCCATTCACTTCCACGATATGGGATGAATCCATAGATGTTCCCAGGCACCACTACACAATATGCACAATACATTATCAAAAACTAACATTTGTCAATATAATTATTTATTATAAAATTTTATTTACACTAAACTTGTACTTACTTTTGCATTTCCTCCTTCCATTGATGAATCAAATTAATAACAATACTGTAGTAGATGATAAATCACATTATCAACATCAACATCAATGACAAAAACCATAAACCACAAAGAAAATCAATAATCCAAACATGTCACTTCAAAAGCCAAGACCTTCGAATAAAGACAAACCTTTAAGGAGCAAAAAGCCGAAACCTTAGAAACCTTTAAGGAGCAAAAAGCCGAAACCTTGGGAGAAATAACGCCAACCACAATGCGATGGAGCGAGAGTGAATTGGAGACCGAAGTGCAACCAATGGAGTGAGAGCGACATCCAAAGAGAGAAATGTGCGAACAATGGTGGAGAGACAACGACGTGCAAAGAGAGAAAAATCCAACTCAAATGGTGGACTGAGAGCCCCGTTCAATGGTGGAGAGAGAGTGACGAAATGTGCAAAGCCAAAAACGAAGAAGAGGAAAATATGAAAGAAAGGGACAATCTGAATTTTCTTTCCAAATATGCCCTCCACACCAAAAACCAACTTTCTAAAAATCAACCAATGAAAATGCTCCACGTGTAGTTGTCAAAAAGTTGACAAAATTTTGTTGGAAAATATTATAAACGTTTTTCATTTACGTAATCAACGCATATGGATTTAATGTGAGCAATCTTTTCCCAGTCTTCACCTTGTTTCTTGCATCGCTGTTTTAGTAACAGACAATATACAATTTCGAGTTTTGAAATGGATTTGGGTATAGACCCTCCTCAGGCAAGCATTGGAGTATAGGACAGTCACGAAGAACCAATGTCTGAAGAGAGGAGAGGTGACAGAGACCCTTGTAGTGCAGTTTTTTAAGATTTGGACAATCATATATCTCTAGATGATCAAGAGAAAGTGGGAGCAAACCTTCACCAGGAAAACACTCCAAATCCACATTGCAAATGTAAAGGATTTTTAAGGAAGGGTTGGTTCCCCAAGCGCCCTTGAGTGAGGCCACAAGTTTGGAGCAATCCCCGAGAAACATCTTTTTTACATTTGATGGCAAATATCCCTCGGACATCTCCAGCGCTGGACAATAGAATATGTCCACACGATTAAGAGATGGAAGAAGGGCAGACATGCATTTAGGCATTGACTTCAATTTTTTCAATCCTCTAATATTAAATGACACTAGCTGAGGTGCAAATAATCCTTCGTTAGGAAATGATTCAAATTCAGAGCATTCTTCAATCCACAAATACTTCAAATGATTATGAGGTTGCTCCTGCGATATCATCTGTAGATAGCCATCGATCGACAAGTGCTTCAAATGCCTGGAAGGTTGCAGATTCTCAAGTACTTCTCTTTCTTTTACTGAATCGTCATTGTTCCGCTTCAAATTCCATCGTAAACTCAGACTCACAATATGTGTTTTATTTTTCAAATTCGTCTCACAGGGATTTGCGATATTTTCAAGATTATTAATTGACAGCTCCTCTGCACGAAGATCAAGTTCTCCTAATTGTTGAATACTGAACTCACTACTTTTTTCAACCGCAAACTTGTTTATCCACACGTGAAGATTCTTCAACTCTCCTAAACGGTGTGGAACCTTTGTTAAAGTAATTCCCTTAAGTTCAAGGCGGCGCAAATTGGTGAGCTCATGCAAAGTCAAGGGCAGCTCCTTCAATTTGAAACAATTATTTAGTTTCAATTCTTGCAAGTTATAGAGTGAACAGGTTGAGTCAGGAAGTCTCTTTATGTCGGCACCTGAAAGGTCTAACGAACGGAGATGTATTAGATCGCCTATGGTGTCAGGCACCTTAATACACCAACGCCATGATAAGACCAGTAAGAACTTAAAGTTGGAGATTGACTCTTCTATTGACATCGGACAGTCCCACCCCTGAAAGGTTATAAATGTCCGTAACCCTTTAGCATCACATAAATTCGTATAACATTGACTAAGACCGCTTACATATGATATATGACGGGTTTTCCTTGATACTCCTTTTTCACCATCAACACCTAACCTGTAGCAGATTTCACCTGAAACATATTTTGCTAAATCATTCAGAAGGTCGTGCATGACAAAATATATTTCCTTGTCCCAAGTTATTTGTTTAAAGAATGACCTTGATACTAGATCATTGAAGTAGTCTTCACCTACTTCTTCTGGAGACTTGCTTTGTTGAGAGCAATGTAGAAAATTTTGAGCCATCCATAACAAAATTAAGCTCTCTTTGTCAAACCTATGGTCTTTGGGGAATAATGCACAATAAGCAAAACATCTCTTGAGATGAGAAGGAAGATGGTAATAGCTCAACAACAAGGTAGGGACGATTTTACTATCTTCTATTGGTAAGTCCCATATCTCGCTTGTCAATACACCTTCCCACTCTGAAACGGATGACTTTGACTGTAAAAGACATCCTATTGTTTCAAGGGCCAGAGGCAATCCTTGGCACTTTTTAACTATCTTCATACCAATCTCCTTTAACTCAGACTTCAACTCGGAGTCTTGATCATGGAATGCATGTTTAGCAAAAGTTTGCCAGCTGTGATCTTCATCTAATTGCTTTAATTGGTGTATGTAGGTTGACTGCATGATAGAAGCAACTTTGTGACTGCGTGTTGTGACTAGAATTTTACTTCCTTTAGCTCCAAACGTAAGAGGAGTTTGTAATGCTTTCCATTGATTGCGGTCTTCGTTCCAAACATCATCCAGAACCAGAAGAAATTTCCTTCCGGACAATCTTTTTTTAAATTTTCCATGAATCATTTCTAGGTCATCACTGTCATCTCTTGAGTTAGTGAAAGCTCCAATAATTGCTTTGGATACTCTCAAAGCATCAAATGCATCAGAAACGCAAACCCAAGCCTTTTCATCAAATTTAGCTTCCTCTGTCTTTGGATCATTGTATACATGTTGAGCAAGTGTGGTCTTACCCATCCCACCCATACCCACAATAGAAAGTATTGACTGCTTATTATCGTCAGTGTCAGATCTCAGCCAAGTAAAGATCATTTCTTTTTCCTCATTTCTGCCATAAATTACCTCTTCAGCCACCAACGACGTTGATTCGACTTTTTTATCCGACACCTTATTACCCAACTCAGATCTTACGCCACTATAAATTTTGAAATCTTTAACAATCTTGTGGTTTAAAAGAGATTCTAAATCGTCTAGGAGTGCTATGATCTTGGATTCAAAACTGTATACCTTGCTAGAACTGGTCTGGAATTCAGCTTCCAACTTAGTCTTGGAGAATTCATAGTCTATTTGCTCGAGCAGATCCTCTGCATCATACAAGACGTCTCTAACCTCATCAAGCCACTCTTTGACCAATGAATTAGTGAACTGCTTTTGTTCTGCATCATCTATGACAGCGTTGATGTCCATCAACTTCCTCTTCAACTTTTTCAGTAGCTTCTCGTCAAGATTTCTCCCACGAAAGAAGCCCAAAACTTGATGAGAATCGAGCTTGTCAAATAGCATCTGAAGAACAACACCAAAAAGAGCACCACCAAGTGTTTCAAGGACAGGCATGATTGAGAAGGAAGTGACCAAATTGAGGAGAAGAAAGGATTGAGAAAAGAGTCATTATCCCTGCACCTCACCACCCTCGTCCTGCACCTCAAAAAAAAATTTAATTCCAAAGTGTGCCCTTGTCACAGTCAACGAGGAGAGAGAAAATTTAAAAAGTTTAGTTAAACTTTAACTCCCCTTCTTCCCTGCCGCATCTCACACAGTGAAACCCTAACCTACACTCCCTCCTTCCTCCCTCTTTTTCTCTCCGTGTTGTCTCTGTCATCCCAAGCTGCTCGCATTCCTCTGTTTTCCTCACAGATCTGAGCTGGCGTCCAGGTTAGTAGCTTGCATCTACTATATTTGTTTGCTGTAATATGTGGTTGGTTCGGTTGCTGGGTCGTATTCGGAGCTCGTTGGAGGTGCACGGATCAGAACCGCATTTCGATATGCGGCAAGGATAAACGCATTTCGAACTGCGGTAAGCACGAACCGCAGTTCGATCTGTGGCACACATACACAGCGCCGCGTTTCGATCTGCGGCAAAGAAGAACTGCGTTTTGCGTTTTTCAAATGTCGTTTTGAACCTTCGTTTTGAAACTTAGTTTTTTTAATTAAATATCTCTGTATGTATGTGATCTGATATCCAGTATAGAGAATAATAGGCTTTTGACACTAGTTTGTTTATTTGAATTGAATGTGTGGTTGAAATCTTTTGATGTGCTTGTTGGCATATATATTGGTTATGATTTTTTTTCAATTTTTATTGACACTATATCTACTGTAAAATGGTTTTTTTATATGAGTAGATACTAATGTAAAATGGTTTATTGACACTATATAGTCACTAGATACTAATGTGAACCAGTAGATACTAATAATAATAATGTATTTAATTTTATTTAACTTTTTTAATTTTTTTTAAATTGAAATAATAATTAAACTTTTTTATTGAAATAAATAATAATTATTATTTTGAATTTATTTGTAATAATTTAATTATTATATATGTAATTTTTTTAGATTTTTATATTATTTTTTATTTGTTTGAATATTTTTTATTACATTATTAATTATTTTTTTGTATATAATATGTTAATAATACAATTGTAGTAATATAACTATAAATATAACTATAACTATAAATAATTAATAATGTAGTAATATAACTATAAATAAAAAAAATGCATCAAATAAACAAAAAAAGATTAAACAAAATAAAATAAGCATGCAAATAAAAAAAAACACATAACCGCACTTCAAAGTGCGGCCCTCAAAATAGAAAACGCACTTCGAAGTGTGGCTGGGTCTTTCCGCACCTCGAAGTGCGGTTGCGTACCTGTGTTCTTCGCCGGACCTCACAGTGTCTTCTTCCTCTTCCTCCTGCAGTCACAGTATATCTCCAAATCTTCCAACAGCACNAGTGCGGTTGCGTACCTGTGTTCTTCGCCGGACCTCACAGTGTCTTCTTCCTCTTCCTCCTGCAGTCACAGTATATCTCCAAATCTTCCAACAGCATTGCCACCACCCCGACCGAAAATTTTAACCACAACTCAATTCAATTTAATACACAATACAGTAAACCAGTGAAGTGCTACAGTGCAAAACGAAGAACAGGGCACCTCAAGGTTTATAACCAACAAATATTTTTGTGGTTGAGAGTTAGGAAAATAGTTGGGGGTTAAAAAAATTAAATTCATTAATTACCGTTTTGACTTTTTATTAAATGAAAAATAAACAGATAAATTTGAGAGTACAGGATGAACTGAGTGAGGTGGAAGAAGAATAACTCTTGAGAAAATTGGAAGTGCAGCTAAGTTACGTGAATGAAGGACTGACAAAAGATAATGAGTGAATATTGTGAAAATTGGAAGCAATAGCTGTTAATTATTTCCGACAGCACAACGTGGGTTTGGTAACTTGTGGAACATATCAACTTTGCTTTACTTTCCTTTTTCGATTACTTATAACAAATTTCTAGTGAATCAGTCTATTTCGTGGTTTGCTTTATTAAATAGAGAAAGCGGAGGTATTTTATATATTTTCATGACAATGTCTTTACGTCAATATCTGTTGTTGACTCTTGTTGACCACACATATTGAAGTTTCAATACTTGTTTTACATTTTTATAGTTCTCCAGCTAGCTCAAATTTATTTATAAAGTTTAAGTCATTAACAAAAATAATAAATCAATGAATATCTTAGATATACTAAAATCAAAGTTCCTTATTGTTATACATAAATTTGTATTCAAATAATGACGGACGGATAAAATTTAAAACATTAGTACAATTATTTTATTTTAATATATTTTTATAATTTAATTTATTCATAAAGTGTAATAAGTTGTTCGAATGAGAAGTTTTTAGTTCGAAACGAATATTTTATATAACAATTTAAATTTAAATATATAAGCAAGAATTTTAAAATTTTAATAATTCATCATTTTGACATTCTTAGTATTAATCATGTTAAATCTTCTTTTAGACTGTAGTTGAATAATTATATTTTTTTTTCTTGTTGTAAGTTAAGATTTAATGCCATTTTGTCACAATAAACTTCTATTCAGAGTTTCCTTCTTGCTTTTATGATTTTCTATTTCATTATTTCAATGACAAACCAAACAAACTTAAAATGAATCAACCGTGAAATCCGAGGGTTAAAAAGTTGATAATATTAACTCTAAAAAAACACGAAGAATATAGTAAAACATTAAAAAACAAAACAAACTGAATCTAGAACGAGACAACAATGTGAGGGAATTTTTGGTAATTTTTCCCTCTTTTTTTACTAATTTATAAAAATTGTACTATCATCCATTCATACAAATGCTAGGTTATATAGGTCCTTTTACACGTTAAAGAATTGTTTCTTAAGTCAATTTTTAATTATTGGTTATTTATTCATCCTCGTTCATTAATAGTTTTCCTTTTAAATTAATAGTTTAACATAAATATTAACTTTTGAAAATATTTATATATATTTTTCTTTTACTGATATATTTTTTATTTGTAAAAATAATGATAATTTTTTATATCAGTTTACTAACCAACTAATATAAAAAGTACGAATTAACACTCCAACTAGTATAAAAAAGTAACATATTTTTATTGTGACTAAGATTTCAACCGGTATAAAAAATGAGTTTCTATACCAATTAGTATTCGAATTGCTATAAAAAATTAATATTATATTGAACAATAAAGAATGATCCTTCTTTTTTTTACTACATTTACAAATGATATTATACCATTTTCACATTAATAGATGATATTATCATCTCTATTGCTATCACCCCTCTCATCTCTTCTCTCAATAAATCTTTTACTTTCAAACACTTTGGTACATTTTTTTTGCATCGAGCTAATAGAGACATCTCAAGAAGGCATTCATCTATTGATACCAAAGTACAGATTAAAATGGCTTTAGTGACGAGGCATTTTAATATTACCATGTATTTTTTAAATAATGAAAAAACTAATACCATGTTTCATGCACTCTGAATTGCTCATGAGAATCTAATTATGCATTATATTAGTTAAAAAAAGACTTTTATGTCGATTTTTAAATCGATACAAAAATATTGAATACAGAAAATATTCGATTTTTTGTACGATTTTGTAACTAGTATAAAAATAGGAGAATTGATAAATTTGTATATAATTCATACTTTTTATATTAGTTGCTCAACCAACTAGTATAAAAGTATGACACTTTATATTGGTAAATTTTTAGTGGTATAGAAAGAACCACTTTTTATAGAGGTTACAACTTTAACCGAACATAAAAACATGATTTTTATACCAACTAGTATTCAAATCGATATAAAAATTAATTTTATATTGATTAATGTTAGAATTATAAAAAGTCATGATTTTTTAAATAGCAAGTTTGTATGTAATAACTACCACATATAGGCCTACATAAAATCAAACAGGCAACAAATAATGAACACTTTGAGTAAACTTATACTCGTAAATACTTAGGAGGTTGGTTATAAAATGTTGAAATTATCAAATTTCGTGAGTCAACAACATTTGTGGATATGATTTTCTTGTATGCATTGTAACATCCCAATATCTCACGCTGGATATTCATAATTTATATATTGTAACATTACATTTACGGTAATATCCCGTAATCTCACACTTATAAAGTTAGATAATAATGTCTACACATGTTTTAAACTCAGATTGTCAACTATAAACTCATAAATATAATTCGAATTCTTCTAGCTTATTCTTCTGTCTCTCTCTTCATTGGCATTGGATCAGACGACATTCCTTCATCTGCTCCCGTATAACATCACGCATTTACGATCATCGCATCACATGCACACACACGTAAGGGTGAGCTAACATGCAACAATCATTATAAAACATGTATATACCTTGATATAAAATCATATAATAATTATGTTCGACACCCTCATACCACAATTCATATTAGATACTCTCTCACAATACCCAATAGACACCACAATACCCAATAAAACACTCATCCGGATGCTACGTTGATGAGCGGTCACGGGAGGTATGCACTTGTAATGACTTCTACTTCTTTTTACAAATACACTTTCAATACTTCATACCATTCACAAGGTTAATCCCTCACTATGTCCAAAACCGGCACATAGACCAGGACCTGTGCTCCTCTCACCCCACATAATTCATCCCTCTCTACTTGAGACTAGAGATTATTAGAGTATCAGGATAACCTCCAACTACGAGACCCTCAACATCACATATACACAAATACCATAATATTACTAATCCGCCACAATACTCATACCATACTAATATTCCTCAACTCACATTATACCCCTACAAAATCTTCCCCATACTACTCATAACATGTTCAGAGCATAAATTCAAATGCAGTATAATAAAAATGCAATAATCACAATTATAATTCATAATTTCATATCTACCACAATAACATGAATTAATCAGACATTTCCTTCAACAACATATATTGCATAATAATTTAACAGTACAAATCTATTCAATAGGATTTAAGTTAAAAACTTGCGAGTAATTCCAGGAAAGAGAGGTGCGTCACAAGGACCAACTTAAGTACCAAGTCTTTCCTAGCCAAATGTTCCTCAACTAGTTTTTAACAAATTTTCGTATTTAACAGATTCAAAACGACAGCATATATATTGTATACCGAATTTCAACATAGATAAACATACAGTAAACATTAACCATATTCACACAGAAGTTCAATATATGAATAGTAATAAAATAATACTAAATCATAATATAAAAGCATAGAACTATTAATCACAAAAAAAACATAGAAAGGTTAGCTCCCCTAACCTATTACAGACGTCTCTTGCTCTGAATTTATGTCTCTGAAACCTTTCAGAACCCTACCCTTCTTGCACAAAAATTTTCTCTAACTTTCTATCACTTGATTTCTCTTCTCTTGGTTGCAAAACTCCTTCCCTCCCAGGCTTTATAGTAAAAAAATTTACTATTCATTAATATTTTAATATTATTTATTATTTTAATATTATTTAAAAATATATTTCAATCTTTTCTCACCAAATCTGTCTAATTTCTACCTACTACTTTCTTCCATGCTAAGGATCCAAATGCTGAAAATTATTTTTACTATTCACTTTTTACTATTTACTATTACTTTTTACTATCAATTTAAAAAATTTACTAAATAAGTACCAAAAT